CTGAGCTCTACGTTGCTGAACAGTTGCATGGAAAAATCTAGAGTTCCTATCTCCGTAACGAAGCCACTTGACTCTAGCCTTCTATCCCCAAAACTTCTCCTCATTCAAAAGTGCATTCCGTAACTCAGCCTGGGCTTGATTCAGCTCGACCTGAGCCTCCGTAGAAGCATCCCCCTCCGTACGGTTCTCCGCAGCTAAAACCTTCTCCTCTGCCCTCCGAACATTCTCAAATACATTCCCGAAGACCCCTTTATTCCAATCTTGAATGGCCCTCCTAGTGCGCAGGAGCTTGGAGCAAAGAGCCCGCAAAGGCGCTCCAGGAGTCTCCTCCTGCCAGGCTTGACGAATTACATTCAGTAACCCAGGATTCGTCGTCCAAATGTTTAGGAATCGGAAGGCCCTGGGTTTATTACCCATGCGCGAAGAGAGTGAAATCTTGAGCGGCGCATGATCCGATGGGTGACGTGCCAGGTGGACCACCGCTAATGTTGGTGCCCCTCAGCAAACCCACATTGATGAGTACCCTGTCCAAGCGCTTCCAGATTCTAGCCCGCCCTTGCCGATTATTGCACCAAGTGAAACTAGGCCCAGAGAAACCTGCATCAAAGACTTCGGCCTCCTCCATAAAGGATAGTAATTCCAATCCTTCAGAACTAGTGAAAGGCCGACCTCCACGCTTCTCAATAGGATTCCCAATGACGTTAAAATCCCCACACACACACCATGCCATTATTGGATCAGGTTTATCCACCAATAAGTCCTGCCACATAGTCCTCCGCTCCTCCAAGGTGCATTTAGCGTGCCCAAAGGAAAAACACAAGGGTCGGGCCAGCCAAGGATGCTGGACAGATATCGTTATGTGTTGTGAAGATTACCAAGAGTACAACACACACTAGGGGGTATTATAAAATACCCATATATCAGTCGATGAATTCACTACGACCGAATCAAAGGGTAACCTTATCTTAATCGAGTCAATTTGAGAAACATCCATTTTTGGCTCACATATAGCAACAAACTTAAAATCATGCAACCGAATCAATCTTATCAGTCGGCGTAAGTTAGGGGGTTTGGCAACCCCTCGTATGTTCCAAAACAGACCATTAATCATGCGATAATCTTTGGAGAGTATTGTGAGAGTGTGTTACCGTCGATCGAAGTTGTCTATCTGATGGGGCCAGACCCTTCTTTCTCGCACGCTTGCCACCGTTGTCCATCACCCTGGATTGATCAATATGTAACCGGAGTAAAAGTGTCCTCCTACTCGAGCCATCACCGACACCTCTCGCATCCTCTTGCTCCGTTGCCTCCTCATCCTCCCCCTCACTCACTGAGCCTCTACTCCCACACAAGGCACAGAGGGCTGTTTCAACTTGCCATACGTCCCTTCAGCCACCGCTATGAGGGCACCAGAATCCCTCTGCTCAACTACTGACAAAGGCAGATGCACCGTAATCTCCCCCACTGCTTGCATTGCCTCTGCCATCGCATCATCCTTGCTAGATAAAATCTGTCCATCATCCACAGCCAGCAGAGCGCGCGTCTGCACATGCTGGCCACTCGCTTGGCCTTGCTACTTCCGCCATCTGCTCCCTCCTCCTGGGCAGTTAGTTGCCCATCAGCAGACCTGCCACCCGGAAGGCAGAATAGCTCCGGCCTTCCTTCTGCAACCAGCCCCTGTTCAGCCGCGAACTGCACAAGTGCGTCCACCATTTGCACTCCACTACCGCTCGTTGGATCCTCTGCCGTATCCTTGATCTCTATCAACTTATTTCCACTTGGTGGCTCCGACCTCCTGCTGTGACCAACCCATGCTCATCCGTGCGCTGCACAAGTGCGGCCGAACCCACCACCTGCACATCACTGCTGCTAGTTAAGGCCTCCGCCGTATCCTTGGTCTCTGTCAAGTTATTTCCATTTGGTGGTTTCGCTGCATTAATCGTGCTGGTATTGCCTGGCAACTCCGCTGTATGCTCCTTTGTGATATCTCGCTCCTTTACCCGATAAGCCTGTCGTGAATCCCTCATCCCATGCTGCTGCAGATTGGTCCTCTTCTCACCAGCAAGTTTCAGAGCTGGGTTTTTCTTAAAGCACTCCTCCTCCTTGTGGCCAACCCGGTCACAGAAGTGACAAAACAAAGGCCAGTTTTCCACTTCCACCGGCTGCCAAAAGCCATAGTCATCATCACCTATCCAGACTCTTTTCGCCGGCTCCTTAGAAACATCCATCTCCACCAACACCCTGGCTACAGATGGTCTGCGCAGCGTGGATGTTGCAGAATCGATTTTGAGAACTCTTCCCAGCGTGGCCGCAAGTTTGGTAACCAGATTCTTTGCAAAGAAAAAGATCGGCAAGCCCGGAAAAGCTACCCATATCGGAACTATGGAAGGTTCCTGATTGGTCTTGAAATCCATGGTCCACTTCGAGATCACCATTGGAGCGTTATTGACGAACCAGACCCTACGCAAGAAGAGCCTGGTGTAGTCCTCCTCAAGAGCAGGCCGAATCAGAATGTGCCTCTGATCCAGCAGCCCCACATCGCATTCTCCCTTGAGTCCCAGTGACACAAAAAATTTCCGCACAACCTCCATTGAAGGTCTGGCTGCAGCAAATCTCCCTACCAGTGCGTTCCGGTATGGTGCCGCCAGAGCACGCATATCTTGCCTGGAGAGACGTAGCGAAGGCTCCCCCCGATAAAGCGAAACCTCACCGATCCCTTCATTACACACTGCATCTGGCGACCCATTGGCAACAACTGCAGCAAAGCTTCTTCCAGCACCGCTGCCATGGATATCCGGCGGCTTGGCGGCCGCCATGCTAAGTCCGTAGTGTTCCGTCAATTTATGCGGCGCCGACACTTTTTGTACACTTTATCTGCTAAGTCCGTATTTATTATCAAATTCATTTTCATCACTATCACCATGGCTATCATCATCAAAGCTATCACTGGATGGTTTGTAAACCTTAAGCTTTTTTTGGCAACAATCAGCACCATATGGTTTAACTTGGAAGGTAGTTGTATCAATAAAATTAAATACTAGGTAATTTCCAAGCTTTAACTCATGATCTTGAATAAATTTTGGCCACGAACGCCTACAAATATAGTAGTATTTACCTTTCTTTCGAATTCTCACAGATCATGATTTTTATAGTGATTTTTTTCCTCAGATATGATTTTACATTTTGGTGAAAACTTTTTCTTGAAGTCCCTCACAAAAGCTACGGGAATTAGCTACGAAGTATATAAAGAAATGAAATGTAAATTTGTTCATTAACGGAACATTGATCATGAGTGACCTTTCTTTGTCTCTTCGGTATTTAATTAAGTTGACTACATACATTGATTTGAGGATAACCAATGAATCGCCAATTAATTCTTGTTCACCTCTCCTCTAATTATTCTCACTACTTTTTTGTTCCCGTTCAAGATCCATCCATTGGAAACATGCAACCATTGGACTATGAATATTGTTCAAACTTGCAGATTTGAAACTTGAACTTTTCAATTTTTGTTGATTTTTCAGCCGGAAATAAAATTCGCTGAATTTTCTATATTTATCCGTTCTTATTAGTGCAATTTTTAAAATCAGTGTAATGATTATAGGGATAATTTTACAATCCTCCCCTGAGGTCTATGATGATTGCAAGTAGCCTCTAGGTTTAAAAAATTGCATAAACCTCCCTTAAAAAATAGTTCAAGGCTCACTTTATTTATGTAAGCAAAATATCTCCGTTGATAATCCTATATTGGCCTTATGTAATTTTTCTCCAAAGAAATAAAATTCCTTTGTAATTTAAACTTAATATATTGCAACATACTTTTAACAAAACCAAGCATCAAACTCGTTTCTCTTCCTTCAAATGAAAAAAAAAAATTGAATACCAATTGAGTAAGCTATTTTTGTAGGAATCTAGAATTTTTTTTCAAATTATTACAATATAAAGTGAAATTGAATTGGAGATAATTCGGGTGGTTAAGACAAGAAAGAACCTATTAATCTTGCTCTTCTTTTTTTTATCATTTTTAATTATTTGTTAACTTATAGTTTTAAATGTCCATTACTACACTTCATGGAGATGTTAAATTGAGTAGATATTGAAAGATATTTTTTGTCATTTTATACCATAATGGGAGGTATGTGTAATTTTTTAAACATGAAGGATAATGTCTGCAATTGTCATAAACCTCAAGTGAGGTTTGTGAAATTATCCCACGATTAAATCATGTGTCGGAAAGAAGAAAAGGATCCATCCATCAAGAACTAGTTGATAATTTAGATGTAGAACTTACGAAAGTTAAATACAACTGTGTATTTAATTTAAATATGACCCTTATGATTCATGAATCATATTCTATTGGTTTATCACTAGTTCATAAGCTTTAATATTTAGTATACGCGGTAATGAATACATAAATATTAGAGACCATACAGCAAAAAAAATACACGAATTATGGGCAATATCGATAATTGCGCCAATAATTTAATAAAGGAAATGAAATTGGGATGCATTAACGGAAAAAAAAAAGCAGATTTGTATAGAAAAAATACAACATATTTTCCTTTTGTTCATATGAAATTTGAATGTTGATCATCCTTGTGGACTAAATATAAAGAGTAAATTCTGTACGCTACCTTGTTTAACCACAAACTACATGTCATTGCAAAAGAAAGATTTTCAATTAATCAAAATTCACCTAAAAAGAGAGAAAAAAAAAAAGAAAAGGGAAAAAATTATAAAAACACTTGACACAGGAAGAAATTTTCGTTTCAATTCAGCCGATATTAGTAGTACTTCAATTCGAAGGAGTCTATCCCAAATCACCCTGGCACTTCCTTTTGGAGATGAGTAAAAAGTTACTCCTCTCTTTTCATTTTCTTTGTTATTCTCTTTTTTTTCTGCCGTTACAAAAGTCCAATGAAAGCAAAATACCATGCAATGATGCAAAGTCCAATCTAAAATCTCATAGTTCAGATGACCACATAGAAACATCCTTTATATTAAGGAGCACCTTTCAACATCTCATGCCCATTCTTCCTTGCAGATCCTGAAATGTAAGACCATTATGTACTACAAATTGAATGTTGAAATTACTGATATAATTTTCCGCAAACATTCATCTAATAACTTGTATTTTTCTAACAAAACTTAATTTTGAAGAAACACAAATTTTAAATGAAAAAAAAAAAATCTTAACATGTTGGAAGCCCTCTTGATTTGAATGTGGAATAAATCTCCAAAACGCTCAAGTAAGGTGAACCGGCAAATCTCTCCTTTCTCCAATTTGTATGCTTTGCGAAATTCAGTCCATCCTTTTCCAATTTCACTCCTCTCATTGATCTTTACCGGCCACTCCCTCTGGTCTTCGCCGCGAAGGACCACCTCTTTCTCCATCGCTAGTTTTGTTGCCCTGGAAAATGGTCTTGGAATATTCTGAAAATAAGATCACCAAGCAAAGTAATTAAATTGAAGAAAGCATCTACATTTACAATTTATTTCTGAAATCTACTAAAAAAAATATATAACCCTCCTTTTCTTGTTTTCTTGTTTTTCTTCAACCGTCCTTCAAATATTCTTAACAAATAAATAGTGAATCATATTTTTGATAAAGGCATCTGCTAATTTCTTCTTCCCTTTTATTTCGTTAAGGCATCTGCATATTATCTTATTTTTTGTGGTTGATGCCTATGCAATTTGCCTGCCGAATCGTTCGGTTGTGTGCATGATGGATATCTAGAAGTGGAACAGAACCAACTTTCACCAGCTTTCTTGAACTTTGTAGGTATTTATTTTCCTTGCTAATAAATCCTTCAAGCTGTTGAGAAGCCAAGAATAAACATAAAAAGAAAAAGAGCAACTGCAATTTATACAATATGGGGGAAAATTTGCTGTTTACTCACCAATCTGTGCATATGATACTGCTTCAGTCTCAAAATAAAATAGGGATTCTCCGCATTTAAATCAAAATAACCATCCGTCTCGTTTGCTTCTACTTCTTCTCCGTCTTCACTTTCAATTTCAAGAACTTGCTTCCCAACACCTTTCCAATTATTTGCATAAGAAAAATGAGACGTGATCAAAATTATCTAACATAATCTACCTTACACAGATCAAGAGAGTTTATAGTTACTTAAACTATCTCACCTGACTTTCTTGTTTTCCTCAACTTCCTGAATTTATTAGAACGAAAATTATCACGATCAATCTGATATTTAGTGTAAACCTTTTTTCTAGCACGATGAACTTTTGATGGCCTTATTCCATCATCTCCGTAAAATTCAGTTTCACCACTATCATCAAAGCGTTCCTCAGAGCCATCACCAGATTCATCATCACTGGAGCTACTGGAGGATTTGTGTACATTAAACTTTTTTGGGGAACAATCGGCACCATATGGCTTTACTCTAAATGTTGTTTTATCTATCAGATGAAATAACAGGTAATCTCCAAGCTTCAAATGATGATCTTTAACAAATTTTGGCCACGAAAGTTTGCAAATATAATAGTAGCAACCTTTCTTTCGAATTCTTACTGGCCATGATTTTCGAACTGAGTTCTTTGCCTCGGATTTGATTGTGCATCTTGAGGAAAGCTTTTCCTTGAAATTCCTCACAAAAGCATAGGGAATCCGCTACAAAATGTCAAGAAAAAAACAACAAATATAAAACTTAATGACAATAACTGAAGAAGATTAATGGAAAATGCATACAGTAGCAATTGATATGGGACTTACAATTTCTCTCGCCAAATCACAGTAGCAATTGATATGGGACTTACAATTTCTCTCGCCAAATCATCTTCCATCAACAGCTTTATAAAGGACGGATTGAAGTTGTAATTGTGTTCCATTTTGGAACTTGGCTTGCAGAGGAAAAGAAGAACGATGAGCCCTTTATGGTTGAGGAAAGAAGGAAAAAGAAGTAAGTATAGACTTTAAGATTGGTGCCAGTTCAAATTACACGGCTTTTTGTTTGCCTTTTGTCTGCATTTTGTAAATACATGAAATTCTGTAGACTTTTAGACTACCAGACACTGTTTTTATAGTTATCATGTTAGTCACGATTCATGAGTGTCATCATTATTACTAATTACATTTACCTCCCCTGAGGTTTGATCATATTACCAATCAATTCCTATAATTTGTCCAAATAACGGTCTCACCCTTTGAATGATCAAACATTTAACAAAAACCCCCTTAATGCCGAAAATGCCCTTATTGAGGCCATCTTGCATTAAAAAAAGAACATATTTTTATTTTATTAATCCTGAAGCAATCCAAAAAAATAGAAAAAAGTTTTTGCTTATTATTTTATAAAAACCATATCTTTGCTTCCATAAATAGTTTTGAATCAATAATTATTTTAAATCTTAAAAATGAATATTAAAAATTAGATAAATTGAAAGAAAATTAAGAAAGAAGCAATTATTTTAAATCCTCAAATATGATTCGAATTTGTGGTTCAAGGCATGTTTTCCTCAATTTGAACCATACTCCAGGAATTAAAATAATTTCTTTTAGTAGATTTTATATCTTTAGGATAGCAATGTAAAAACATTGCCTTCACAAGAGCTTTGGACCATATAATGACGCTCCAACACCACCAATTTTTCAATTGATTGAATCTTTCCATATCATAGCTGAAGTAGAACTTTTATAAGTAGTCCTAGGAAACTCAGAATCATGTGCCATTTCTTATGTACAAAACTGTAGTCATAGAGCCTTAAATCTGCATAAACATTATAGTCTAGTTCTTATGTACTGAACCCAATAAACCTTTGGAGTTGGCAAGAAATCAAACCTGGAAAGAAGCATTGAAGGAGATGTTAGTTTGTTGTCAATTTGGAGTAGATTATAATCTAAGGCATAAGATGCAATATAACTGTTAGAACTGACTCTATAATTCAATATTTTGCCAACACATACTAGCATAAAACCTAAGTGGGAGATCTAAAAATGAAAATAGTGTAGTGAAAAAAGATGTTATTAATAGTTTAGTGCCCATCTTGATATATGCCCCTTTTTCTGTTTTATTCCATTTATTTGTTAACCTTAGGTTGTGGCTGGGGAGAGGAGGTGAGTAGAAAACACAACTAATTCCAGCAGCTGGACCTATAAAATGTTAAATGGCTTTACGGATGAATTATATATGTTCAATTGCCATCAATTGCCAACTCCAACTTCGTAATTCGGTGTGGAAAGAGTCGCAACAACGACTCAAACTTCCACTTTGACCAACGCACTTAACCCTACATTATGTTTAAAGAACCCAATTAATGAAGTTCTGAAATAAATTTTAAACATCTTACCAAAATTCTCCAAAATTAGTACACACACACACACACACACAGAGTCCTCCAATGTAGATAATTGGGAAATTTAGAGTTTAAAATATTGGGGTCGTTATATTTGTCACAGTAAATTAACCTGTTTCATTTGTTTCCTTTGACTTTTTTGTTTGTATTTTCTTCTTTTCATATTTCTAATTTTGATTGACTGCCTCTCCCTTTTACACTTTAGGTTTTATTCTGATGGCTTTTCTTTGACTTTTTATGCATGTAAGTAATTTTATTTGATTTGGTGGTGCACCAGAATGGCCAGAATGAATAGTCTCATTACCCAAAGAATTATGTCAAAAAATTTTTAATCGTTCAACTTTGTGGTATGCAAGTAAGAATAAAATGTATCCATTTTTATTGTTTAGCATGATCAATTTTTAGATGTCAAAACGAAAGTAATTCTGTGCAAATTTGATTTAATTAATTTAAAACATAGCTTAGGACTTACAAGATTGTTTTCAAGTGATTCTAATTTTGTGAAAGCTGATTTTGTGAAATTGATTTTTAAAAGATTTTGTAGAGTAACTATTGTGTTCTAGTTTATAGTTAATAAAGCTCCTTTGATAATACTTAAGTGTTCTTCAAAATGTTGAAAAGCTAATCTCAACAAAAAGATAACCAAATTGCCATTATGTGAGACATAAATAACTTTTGTACGACTGACATGGTATTTTAAATGTAATTAATTATTTTTCTTATGAAGATTAAATGTTGAATAAGAAAAAGAAGAAGGGAAAAACGGATGAATCAAGAAGTGGAATAACGAGTAAGAAGAAATGGAGAGAGATGTGTGGCAAAAATATTTACTTAATCTTTATGTAGTTTAGTAATTATGTTAAAGTTTAAAGGATTTTTTTTTGGCATATAAAAAAAATTAGGCCATAATCTGAATCTTAAAGCAATTAAGAATTAAGACATACTTTTAACTTTTGGGGCCCTTCATGTTTTTTATGTTGCTTTTATTTATTCGTGCTATGCTATTTTTGTTAAATTGCAAATTTATTTGGTTAGATAATATAATCATGTACGAAAATCCATGTTAAGTTGAATAATGAGTTAATTAATGAATTAGTTCAACTAGTGGTCACATTTATCTTAGTGTGAAACTTAAGGATAGCCACTCACATCCCAAATCAATAAATGATCCAAAGTTGTTCAAAAAGCACAATACACAAGTAATTTTTTTTAAAAAAAAAATAATACACAAGTAATCCGACCAAATCATAGACGAAAATCAACAATTACGTTTGATTTTACATGTTGAATGTTTCTAAAGAACACTGACAAATTAGAATTATCGGCAAAAATTTTGTAAATACTAAAAACAAATTCGCACTATATTTTAGTAGTTTGGAATATCAATGACAATCAAATAAATTGCAACTTAAAAGATCACCATTCATTCCTTCAACTTGTTAATTTCAAATATGAATTGAAACTTATATATCACTTGACAAAAACTCGACCCCAATGATTTTTCCGTTTGACAAATGCCAAATTTACCTAGTGCTAATAAATTGATTAACAAGGATAAAAAATAGAGCATACTACTCATTCGACTTGCAAATAGCTAATTATTTTGTTTTAGTAGTCTGTTATAACAACTTTGCAAAGAGTCTTCTAAAAGAATACTGGGTAAATTAACAAAGGTTAAATAAATCTTTAGTAAATCACCCAGATGAACTACGCTTTTGGCTCTTCTATGTATGATAACCAAATGAATCTTCAATTAACTCTTCCGGAATAAATTAAGAAATTCTATATAAGAATCATCGTATTTCATAATTTGCCAGTAAAATCCTTTTGATTCTTTACCGACCAATAATGTGGGATCATTAACATTGTTAAAGTAAAGGTATTTGATGTTTAGATGCAACATATGATATATAGTCTTTCGACTACTATGCTAATATAAAGATAGTTTAAAATAAATGTTTTATTGATAGAAGACACTTCTATCGATATAAAACACTTATTGTAAAATTGAGTCATCACACACCAGCCATGAGCTTGGGGGAATCGGTACAGGAATATAATTTTGACAACAAAAAGGCAAATTATTTGTTACTCTCCTGTAGTTTTACTAGATGACCCTTTAAATTTTTAAAATTGCCACATAATCCCCTGTGGTTTTATGTAAAGTGAAAAATGGATGAAATGCACAATTAGTTATGATATTTATACCAAACACATTTTAAAAGCGCATTGGTAAAATATTAATACTCATGTAACTCCCTTATAATTTGTATAAATATCCACTTTATTTTCATGTGATTTTTGCATTTATCCACTTAATCTCCCTATATTTTTATGTAAGGTGGTTAATCCGTCGATTAATTTTTATATTTCTCACCTAACATTGTTACATAGTTATTTTCCAGAAAGTTTCCACTTTACATAAAATTATAGGTGGAGAAGTGGACATTTTGAAATGTTAGGAGGGTCTTGTGACAACAAATGAAACCACAAGTGGTTACATGTAATTTACCCCAAAAAAAAAAGAAGTCTTAGAAAAATACTTTTTGTATAGATAACGCTTGGTTCATTACTCGCATAAAGACTTTTACAAGAAAGAATATATCTACAACTAGAGTAAATAGACACAAGAGACCAAATTAGCATCATGACTTTGACAAGAAAAAAAAAATATATATATATATATATATATATCCACAACTAGAATAAATATACACAGGAGACCAAATTAGAGTAAATAGACGCCCAACAACCTTTAATGTTGGGTTTAACAAACTGAGAAATGAATTTCACTACTTCCATAAATTCAAAGGCTTAGTCAAATATGTATACATGTTGGGATATGATCAATAACGTTTTTCCCTATGCACAAAATGAATGAGATGGAGAGACTAGTTTAGGCATTGGTACTCACATAGATTTCAAATTTCGATCTCTTTATCTTCTTCTTCTTCTTATTAATCATCATAAAAGAGATTCACAGCACATTTCGGTAATAGTCCGATACTAATTCAACAAAGGTATACAAATTTCTTTCTGTTCATTGCTTTTCCCTTTCGGTTTGTTAGTACTTCTGTTGTTAGTTTTTTGAAGAAGAGGATGAATGAAAAGGGCCTACTCCACTGCAAATTCTGATTCGTAACTTTTAGTATACATACTTTTTTATCAGTGCAAAATTGAAATCTGAAGTCAACTTGTACGTTGCAAAATCACAGTCCATAGGAAGATGATTACTTAAAAGTAGAGCCGACAGAAAAGCCCAAAACCTAACAAATTGCCCATTAATTTAAAAAGATGGATTGGATTAGTTGGATTATAAGTTTTGTCAGGTTGGGTAAGAAAAATTGAACTCTTTTATTGGATGGTTGGGATTTTTTATTTGGACACTTGACACCCAACCTGTTCAAAAATGATTTAAAATAATAAATACAAAATTCAATACACATATGCCCAATCACTTGCATTTGGACATATTAGTGATTGGGCATATGTTAATAATTCATTAACTAATTTGTATTCAAAATTCTCATATATAT